GCACCCATCATCCCCATCCCTGGAGCAAGAGAAGGGAGAAGACTTTGGGATTAGCTTTCCTGGTTGGGAGGTGCAGGGAGTTGCAATCCAAAGCCAGAACTCTCTCTGTGTGTGTCTGGCTTTGTCTGCAAGGGAAGACAGGGGAGAAGGGGTCCCTATAACACTCTGCACATGCTCAAGGGAGCTGGGCTACCTGGCTGCTCTCAGTGCTGCTTCTCCTTCTCCTCGGGCTCCATCCGACTTTGGCCGCATCCTCTGCTCCTCCCGTCCGGCTCCATCGCGCTCCAGCGGCGGGACAAAGCAGGCGTCCCGTTTAAATCCAGGGAAGGAGGAGGAAGAGGAGAAGGCAAGGCAGGGCTGGGCAGGGCTGGGGGGAGAGCAGAGCTATGGGACACTCCCCCTCCGCCGCCCTCCCTCCTTCTCTCCCTCCCTCCGCGCCTCTGAGCATGGGCAGAGGGCGCAGGGACCCGGAGTTCGCCTTCCTAGCATCCCAGAGTTGGAAGAGATCCCCAGGGGCCATCCAGCCTGACCCCCTTCTGCCTTCAGGCAGGGAAAGCACACTCAAAGCCATCCAAACTCTAGGAGAGTCCAGTAGAGAGCTCAATAGCTCTTCTCATGGTCAGCAAGCTCTTCCTACAGTTCTCCTTTCCTGTCACTTGAACCCATAGGCAAACTGAGATGATAACAGTCTTCAGGCCTCCTATACTAGTTCCTTGTTATGTATATCAGGTGTCAAACAGGGAAAACAAACAAACAAAACAAACAAAACAAACAAAACACAAAGTTTGCAAGCTTAGTAGTTGTTTAAATGTCCTTTGACCAGTATCTGGCCACTTGGAGTGCTTCTGGTGTTGCCGCAAGGAGGTCCTCCATGGTGCATGTGGCAGGGCTCAGGTTGCATTGCAGCAGGTGGTCAGTGGTTTGCTCTTCTCCGCACTCGCATGTCAAGGATTCCACCCTGTAGCCCCATTTCTGAAGGTTGGCTCTGCATCTCGTGTTGCCAGAGCGCAGTCTGTTCAGCACCTTCCAAGTCGCCCAGTCTTCTGTGTCCCAAGGGGGGAGTCTCTCATTTGGTATCAGCCATTGGTTGAGGTGCTGGGTTTGAGCCTGCCACTTTTGGACTCTCGCTTGCTGAGGTGTTCCAGCTAGTGTCCCTGTAGATCTTAGAAAATTGTTTCTTGATTTAAGGCATTGACGTGCTGGCTTATTCCCAAACAGGGGATGAGCTGGAGATGTCTCTACCTTGGTCCTTTCACTACTTCCCGGCGGATGTCAGGTGGTGCAATACCGGCTAAACAGTGTAATTTCTCCAGTGGTGTAGGGCGCAGACACCCCGTGATAATGCGGCGTGTCTCATTAAGAGCCACATCCACTGTTTTAGCGTAGTGAGATGTGTTCCACACTGGGCATGCGTACTCAGCAACAGAGTAGCCAAGCACAAGGGCAGATGTCTTCACTGTGTCTTGTGGGCTGATCAAATCGAACTATGCATGATTTTCATTTCGTCACATTATTGTTAATTATTAGATTTTATTTTGGCACAAAGGACTTTTCCCCGTGGAGTCTTGGCCAAACAGTAAGAATGTCTTAAGTATATGAAAATAGTGTTTTGTAGTGATTGGAGTGCTGGACTCGGACACCGAAGCTTTATTCCCAATCTTTGTTTGCACAATAAGCCAAGTTCTTCGAAATCCATTTCTCAGAGGGACAGAAAGGAAGATGAACAGGGGTGCAAAGAGCAAAACAGCTTTACATATGCTATCTAAAGCACACACATAGAATCATAGAATCATAGAATCAAAGAGTTGGAAGAGACCTCATGGGCCATTCAGTCGAACCCCATTCTGCCAAGAAGCAGGAATATTGCGTTCAAATCACCCCTGACAGATGGCCATCCAGCCTCTGTTTAAAAGCTTCCAAAGAAGGAGCCTCCACCACACTCCAGAGCAGAGAGTTCCACTGCTGAACGGCTCTCACAGTCAGGAAGTTCTTCCTCATGTTCAGATGGAATCTCCTCTCTTGTAGTTTGAAGCCATTGTTCCGCGTCCTAGTCTCCAGGGAAGCACCAAGCTTGCTCCCTCCTCCTCCCTGTGGCTTCCTCTCACATATTTATACATGGCTATCATATCTCCTCTCAGCCTTCTCTTCTTCAGGCTAAACATGCCCAGCTCCTTAAGCCGCTCCTCATAGGGCTTGTTCTCCAGACCCTTGAACATTTTAGCCGCCCTCCTCTGGACACATTCCAGGAGGGCGACTAAAATGATCAAGGGTCTGGAGAACAAGCCCTATGAGGAGCGGCTTAAGGAGCTGGGCATGTTTAGCCTGAAGAAGAGAAGGCTGAGAGGAGACATGATGAGAGCCATGTATCAATATGTGAGAGGAAGCCACAGGGAGGAGGGAGCAAGCTTGTAGTTAGAAATAACCTTTCAAAAGGACCTGTTCCAACTTACATACAGATTCAACTTAAGAACAAAACTACAGAACATATCTTGTTTGCAATTTGGGGACTGACAGGTTGCCTGACTTGAAAACTTTAGGAGGGCCTAAACAGGAGATGCTGTTTGGTTTGGTTTCACTGCAAAGGAAGTGGACAATCCTCCATATTAAATATGTATTGCACTTTTGATGGGCTTCAGAGCAAGAAAACCAAAGTAGAAACCTTCATCCTTCCAGGGGGAAAAAGGAGAGGGACAGTTGCCATCCAGTGGCAAACCGTGAGACTGCATCCGGGTGCATTCAATGATGCACAGTCAGCGGTCCAAATGTGTAAGCTTGACTTTTGTGGATCTAGTCATGACAGTTAAAGTGGTATCAATCTGGGTAGAACAGGCACGGACAAATTTTGTCTCTTTGTTTTGGAGGGCTAAAATTTGTCCATGTCTGATGTAGACCTTAAACCATAGAAGAGTTGGAAGAGACCCCATGTGTTGAAACATGTTAGTGTGTGTGTGTGTGTCTTTGTGTATCAACTGTAAAATAAGATGTATGAAGCTGATTGGTTGGGCTATTCCCAGGGAGATGGCTGAGCCTGGGACTTTTGGATACTGTTACATTTATCAGACTGCAGACTGCAGACTGCAAGCCAGGATAGAATCATAGAATCATAGAATCAAAGAGTTGGAAGAGACCTCATGGGCCATCCAGTCCAACCCCATTCTGCCAAGAAGCAGGAATATTGCATTCAAATCACCCCTGACAGATGGCCATCCAGCCTCTGTTTAAAAGCTTCCAAAGAAGGAGCCTCCACCACACTCTGGGGCAGAGAGTTCCACTGCTGAACGGCTCTCACAGTCAGGAAGTTCTTCCTCATGTGCAGATGGAATCTCCTCTCTTGTAGTTTGAAGCCATTGTTCCGTCCTAGTCTCCAAGGAAGCAGAAAACAAGCTTGCTCCCTCCTCCCTGTGGCTTCCTCTCACATATTTATACATGGCTATCATATCCCCTCTCAGCCTTCTCTTCTTCAGGCTAAACATGCCCAGCTCCTCTAGCCGCTCCTCATAGGGCTTGTTCTCCAGACCTTTTATCATTTTAGTCGCTCTCCTCTGGACACATTCCAGCTTGTCGATATCTCTCTTGAGCCAGATAGTAAGTGCTGTTTTAATTAAATTGTTTTATACAAACTGGGTTTTTGTTTGGTTCATCTCTGCCTCTCTAAAGGCAGAGCCCTGGCATTGTGGCATAGAATAACTGCTTTGGGAGAGGGTGATCAGGCATTCAGACAGCATGGCCAGTCCAGCGGAGTTGATGGCAGAGGAGCATCGCTTCAATGCTGGTGGTCTTTGCTTCTTCCAGCACACTGACATTTGTCCGCCTGTCTTCCCAAGAGATTTGCAGGATTTTTTGGAGGCAGCGCTGATGGAATCGTTCCAGGAGTTGCATGTGACGTCTGTAGACAGTCCACGTTTCGCAGGCATATAGCAGGGTTGGGAGGACAATGGCTTTATAAACAAGCACCTTGGTATCCCTACGGATGTCCCGGTCCTCAAACACTCTCTGCTTCATTTGCAAACTGGGTTTTTGTTTGGTTCATCTCTACCTCTCTAAAGGCAGAGCCCTGGCATCGTGACATAAAATAACTGCTTTGGGAGAGGGTGATTGGCATTCAGGCAACATGGCCAGTCCAGCGGAGTTGATGGCAGAGGAGCATGGCTTCAGTGCTGGTAGCTTCTTCCATCACGCTGACATTTGTCCGCCTGTCTTCCCAAGAGATTTGCTGGATTTTCCGGAGGCAGTGCTGATGGAATCGTTCCAGGAGTTGCATGTGACTTCTGTAGACAGTCCACGTTTCGCAGGCATATAGCAGGGTTGGGAGGACAATAGCTTTATAAACAAGCACCTTGGTCTCCCTACAGATGTCCCGGTCCTCAAACACTCTCTGCTTCATTTGGAAACTGGGTTTTTGTTTGGTTCATCTCTGCCTCTCTAAAGGCAGAGCCCTGGCATCGTGACATAGAATAACTGCATTGGGAGAGGGTGATCAGGCAACATGGCCAGTCCAGCAGAGTTGATGGCAGAGGAACATGGCTTCAGTGCTGGTGGTCTTTGCTTCGCCCGGCACACTGAGGTTTGTCCACCTGTCTTCCCAAGAGATTTGCAGGATTTTTTGGAGGTAATGCTGATGGAATCGTTCCAGGAGTTGCATGTGACACCTGTAGACAGTCCACGTTTCGCAGGCATATAGCAGGGTTGGGAGGACAATGGCTTTATAAACAAGCCCCTTGGTCTCCCTATGGATGTCCCAGTCCTCAAACACCTCTGTACTTTATTTGGAAAAATGCTGCACTCGCAGAGCTCAGGCGGTGTATTTCGGTGTCAATGTTGACTTTTGAAGAGAGGTGGCTGCCTGACAGTAACATTGCCTAGCCTATATTTGAGGACCCTATGTTATTTTTTTCAGAATCCTTTTGAGACACAATGGGTTGGAGGCAAGAATTATCTAAAAAAAGACTGGAGAGTAAAAGCCACAATTCACAATTATTGGCGGAACTGAGTGGCTTTAATCTGAGAAATCTGTCTTTAATAAAAATCTAATTCTGAAAGACGGCAGGGGGAGAGAAGCCATTCCAAAAGGGCTTCGTTGGCAGGCTTAAGGATTTCATCCTGGGTGTGAGGCATTTCCAGCACTGTTTGGCAAAGCAGGAAAGTCTCCGAAGTTGTGCCCATGTTTTCAAGGAACTTGACAACTAGAGGGGGAAATCCTCATCGGTGGGGATATCAAGAACAACATCCATGTCCGGCATGCACCTGGAAGGAAAAGGAAAAGAAGAAAGCAAAGCAACTTTTGAAAAGGACGTGTTGTAATTCAATCAGCTGATGATGAGGATGAGGGGTTTGGAGGTGCAGTGCCTGATGCTCCTGGAGGTGCTGAGACTGTTGGGATGTTGAAACATGATGGTGATTCCCCGGTTGGGAGAACGGAGGGGAATTTGGAATTAGATGTTGAGTCTCTGTGTGAAAACGAAACTGCTTTAGAAGCTGACAGGCAGAGAAGGGAGGAGGACATGAGCTCACCCGATGCAGGGGGGTTGGGCAGAGAATCCAGGCTGCTCCTGCGAAGGAGGAATTTCAGGTGCAAGCCAAGCCATGGGAAAGGGAAGCCTGGGAAAGAGAGCCAGAGACAGGCTCCTCAAGGCCAATGGAATGCCTTCATGCATTGCTATCTGTTCTGTCACGTGCTGGGCCTGTAAAGAATTGCCTTTAAAATAGGACGTGCAACTTGAGCCCAGCAGGAAGCCAGGGACCCCTGAAGAGAAGTTCTCAAGGATTTTCCACCACAAATGGTCTTTAGATGGCTTGTGAAGTATAACAAAGTATAACAAAGTCCTTTATTAATGAACAATCAAACAGAAACTTCTCTTGTCTTCAATAAAGTTAAACAAATGCTTCCAGGCCTTTATGCAACTGGTAGCTTCCTAATCTTGTCCATGAGGGACAGGCAATTGTCTTCAATAACTGTTTCTTTACTTTAAGGAAAATCCCTTTTTAACTTCTCCCAGGCTGACTGTAATCTAAGCCTTACTGATGTGGGCTCCGATACCAGGTCAAACTGCATCTCGAGCACTGAGTGGACCAACCAGTAAGGCCAGTAGATTCTCCAGCTGGAGTTCTTTGGTCTTCCAAACTGTTTACCCTCCGAAATTCCTCAAAGCTTTAGGGCTGCTTTCCTGGAAATCTTTGGAAATCTTTGGATGCTCTTAAGACTGTTCTCCCCGGAAAGTCTTAAGGGTTGAAGCTTTTGTACAGGAGAAGCTTGTACATGTCCTCTACATTAGCTTTCCTTGCTGAGACTAACTACAAATGGCTCCCTTCCCTTCCCAATTGCCCCGAACAAGGGGCGGAACCAAAACTTAACGATGGACAGGTGACTTGCCCTACGACTGCAACTAAAGGAAGCAACCTTTCTGCAGAATCCCTGAAACCTTGGACTACAAGCAAACATTTAATACAATGCAAATAAAGTTGGAGCTCCTGGTACAGCCGTACCAGCACACTGTCCTTAATTAGGAAAAGGAAGTTCTTAGGTTTCAGATCAAGCAATGTTGTGAATGGAGTAAGAAGCTTCTGCCTTGTTCCTGGTGATATCTTAGCTTCAAGCCAAGTTTCCTAGTCAAGTTTTGCTAACAGTCTTGGGGGTTTTACCATGGATGTTAGGAATTGTGGGAGTTGAAGTCCAAAACACCTGGAGGGCCCAAGTTGGCCCATGCCTCCTGTAGAGGAAAATTGAAGTACATGGGGTTGAATTGAGCATCCTTGGGTGCTTCTAAGGGCAAGCTGGAGGAAATTGCCACATTTTCAAGTGTTTGGAGAGATTTCTGCATGGTTGGTGGGCAAAATTATCTGGAAAACTACTTTAAAAAACATATTGGGACTCTGGCCACCCCAGTCTTATCCCATGAAGGCATAGCCCCAGTTTTCAAGCACAAGCCAGCCCTACTGTTTGAGACTCAGGCCCAGGAACAAACCTACTTGGGTTTGCGGAGGAGGACGTCGGCAAAGATCATGTTTCGCGGGTCCCCGGTGGAGTGGTGAAGCTTGATGATGCTCCGGTGCAATTCCTTGACTTCTTTCACCATCTCAGCAATTAACTGAAATAGGGAAAGAAAAGATATTAGCAAATGAGGAGTACCAAAACCTCTACCTGTGAATTCAGCCATGTCGAGATTATCTGCTTTGAACTGGATTATAGGAGTCTACATTGCCATATAATCCAGTTCGAAGCAGATAATTTAGATTTGATGTGGCGGTGTAGATTACTGCACTGTCATATCTTAAGTTAAATTACTACAGTAATATACTTTTGTGTGATCTATTCCCAAACAGTTCAAAGGCATACATACTGCAAAGAATTACACGGCTGCAAGGCCATTAAATGCTAATCAAGGCGGCCAATTGTAACTATCACAACTGCTTCAAACAGACAAGAGTTCTTTCTCCCACCCTGGACATTATTCCACAGAGATATAAACCTCACTTATCCTAATTTCCAACAGACTTCACAACCTCTGTGGATGGCTGCCATAGATGTGGGCGAAATGTCAGGAGAGAATGCTTCTGGAACATGGCCAGACAGGCCGGAAAACTCACAGCAGCCCAGTGATTCCGGCCATGAAAGCCTTCGACAACAACTTGAAAGCATGCGACAATAGCAATATGCCTTAAAGTTGCTTGTTGATTCAAGGCGACTCCAGATTTCATAGAATTTTTCAAGCAAAGGTGAAATAATAATAATAATATCCCTATGAAATAATAATTATAATAATAATACTTTATTTATACCCCACCACCATTTCCCAAGGGGACTCGGGGTGGCTTATATGAGGCCAACCCCAACAATTACAACAAAGCAAATATACAACATAAAAATACAGCAATAAAATAAAATGAAAACAATGCAAAAAATATATAAAGTAAACACACAATGCAGTAAAATGTGGGTGAAACGTCAGGAGAGAATGCTTCTGGAACATGGCCAGACAGCCCGGAAAACTTACAGCAACCCAGTGATTCTGGCCATGAAAGCCTTCGACAGTACATCCATACATACTTTGGATGGAAAGAGGAAGGACCATTGCCCATAAAAATATAGTTGTGTTAGTCTGGAATATCTGCATGTAGAGATCTTGTAGTGTCACTAGATCTCTTTACATGCTTCCTCTCTTCTATGAGGCATTTTCTAGGTTTAATCGTTGCCAAATTGGTACAATTTCTCGCTAAGTCTATTGATGAATTCCTTGCCTCCTTCTGTACTGCAATTTGTCTTTTCAGCTCCAGGTTGTTCCTGTTCATCTGAGTCAGACCTTCATGGTACTTCATCAGCTGCTTCTGCACAAAAGAGAGGAAAAGGCACCTAAGAAGGAAACCTGGACACTGATCAAGGGAACTTGAATCACCACTTCATTTTGCACCTGGAATAATACTGTGTCTGGTTCTGGGCACCATAATACAAGAAGTGTTATGGAGAAACTGGAAGGTGTCCAAAGAAGGGCCACCAAAACAATCAAAGGTCTGGAAGCCATAAATCCCTCTGAGGATCGGCTTAGGGAGCTGGGAATGTTCCGCTTGGAGAAGAGAAGGTGGATAGAAGGGGACACAAGAGCCATGTTTCAGTATCTGAAAGGAGGGAGGTCACTTTGAGGAGTGATGATCGTGCCATTACTGCTCAAGCAGGGAGCTTTGAGATGGTTCAACAGAAGGTCTCTGAAGCTCTAGGTCAGTGGTTCTCAACCTGGGGTCCCCAGATGTTTTTGGCCTACAACTCCCAGAAATCCTAGCCAGTTTATCAGCTGTTAGGATTTCTGGGAGTTGAAGGCCAAAAACATCTGGGGACCCCAAGTTCTCCAAAGCTCTAGGTGCTCTTACTGCCTATTACAGGGAAAACCAGCTGATCCCTAACCCATCTAAAACACAGACATGTGCCTTTCATCTCAAGAACAGAGAAGCATCCCGAGCTCTGAGGATCACCTGGGAAGGAATCCCACTGGAGCATTGCAGCGCACCCAAATACCTGGGAGTCACTTTGGACCGTGCTCTGACCTACAAGAAGCACTGCCTGAACATCAAGCAAAAAGTGGGTGCTAGAAACAATATCATACGAAAGCTGACTGGCACAACCTGGGGATCACAACCAGACACAGTGAAGACATCTGCCCTTGAGATTTAATACTCTGTAGCTGAGTATGCATGCCCAGTGTGGAACACATCTCACCACGCTAAAACAGTGGATGTGGCTCTTAATGAGACATGCCGCATTATCACGGGGTGTCTGCGCCCTACACCACTGGAGAAATTACACTGCTTAGCCGGTATTGCACCACCTGACATCCGCCGGGAAGTAGCAGCCAATAGTGAAAGGACCAAGGCAGACATCTCCAGCTCATCCCCTGTTTGGGTATCAGCCAGCACGTCAACAACTTAAATCTAGAAATAGTTTTCTAAGATCTACAGAGACACCTCAGCAAGCGAGAGTCCAAAAGTGGCAGGCTCAAACCCAGAACCTCAACCAATGGCTGATACCAAATGAGAGACTCCCCCCTGGGCACACAGAAGACTGGGCAATTTGGAAGGCGCTGAACAGACTGCTCTCTGGCACCACGAGATGCAGAGCCAATCATAAGAAATGGGGCCACAAAGTGGAATCCACGACATGCGAGTGTGGAGAAGAGCAAACCACTGACCACCTGCTGCAATGCAACCTGAGCCCTGCTACATGCACAAGGGAGGACCTTCTTGCAGCAACACCAGAGGCACTCCAAGTGGCCTGATACTGGTCAAAGGACATTTAGCCAACTACCAAACTCACAAGTTTTGTATTTTGTCTGATTGTTTGCTTTGCTGTTAGAAATGTAATATAATGGACTGGTTGATCTGACACGACAAATAAATACTTTGGAAACAGTTGTTCTACTCCAGAAACTTCATTTCTGTGGCTGTCACAAACTAAGTTGAATTGCTTGAGTCTCCATGATAAAATATTCATTTAAAAACTATTGCAAAATGTGTTTCAGGATACCCCGCAATTACTTTCTTTGCAATTTCATAAACTTTTCCCATATTTTTTATGATAGAACCAATTAGGAAACGGCATTTATATGCCCGGAACAAAAATTGTGTAACATAGTGCTATTAAAGCTATCAAAATAGAAATATTCGAAGGGGGGGAAAAGTCTCACTGACCTCTGCAATGTTCTGAAACACATGTTCCTCTTGCTCAAACGCTCTCCCTGACAAGTTCATAAGGGACTTTCGAGAATAATTCTGAAAACACTCCAATTCATCCTGAAAGAGACAGTGATACAAGGGAGCAAGAAGACATTAAAGCAGCCCAGACCTTTTTTTGTTTGGACTGCAGTATCTGGAATCTCTAGCGGGCTGGCCAGGGTTTATGTTGCCATGCAGATTATGGATACTGTAGTCCCAAAGGTAACTTTTGTTGGAAATAGCAACCACCAAGCCTCCACTAGTTATTTGTCATGTATATAATTCAGATTGCTTACTGTATTGTATATGTGTATATTGGTTTGCAGTTTTCCTTAACTCTATGTTATTGGAGGGACTGCAGACCATGTGATCAGATCTGGGACTGTTCAGGACTCAGACTCCGTTTTAGATACAGTATGTTTTCAAATGCTAGTAGAAACTATAGTTTGTATATGTGTGTATTGGTTTGCAGTTTTCCTTAACTCTGTGTTATGAGAGGGGCTGCAGACCATGTGATCAGATCTGGGACTGTTCAGGACTCAGACTCCATTTTAGATACAGTATGTTTTCAAACGCCAGTAGGAACAGTACCATTTGTATATGCATGTATTGGTTTGCAGTTTTCCTTAACTCTATGTTATGGGAGGGGCTGCAGACCATGTGATCAGATTTGGGACTGTTCAGGACTCAGACTCCATCAGGGAGATTCCTGATTTTCCCAAAATGGTGGTGAATGCCATTCCCCAAAAAGGTTATGGAGATTTCCATTTCCCAAAAGGTTATAGCATCATTTTTCAAAAATAAAAATAAAAATCCCAAGGCAAGTGAACGAAAGGTGGAAGAAGCCTCCTGTCCATACCTGTTGCTCTTCAATCAGGTTCCGGATGCTCCGCATCAGAGATGAAATCTGGACCGCTTTAACCGGATACTCCTTGTCCATATAGGACCGCAAGACATTGAGCTCATCCTGGAGGGACTGAACTTTCGTGTTCATGCGCCCCATCTCCGCATCTAGTTCTGGTTTTGGGAGGAAGGGGAAGATCAAGGCAAAGAAGATAAAACTGTGGAATTATTATTATTGTATTGTCGAAGGCTTTCATGGCCGGAAACACTGGTTTGTTGTAGGTTTTTCCAGGCTATATGGCCATGCTCTAGAGGCATTCTCTCCTGACGTTTCGCCTGCATCTATGGCAAGCATCCTCAGAGATAGCGAGGTCTGTTGGAACTAGGAAAAGGGGTTTATATATCTGTGGAATGACCAGGCTGGGACAAAGGACTCTTGTCTGTTGCAGCTACGTGTGAACGTTTCAACTGACCACCTTGATTAGCATTTGATGGCCTGGCAGTGCCTGGGGCAATCTTTTGTTGAGAGGTGATTAGATGTCCCTGATTGTTTCCTCTCCGTTGCTTTGCTGTTGTAATTTTAGAGGTTTTTTTTAATACTGGTAGCCAGATTTTGTTCATTTTCATGGTTTCCTCCTTTCTGTTGAAATTGTCCACATGCTTGTGGATTTCAGTGGCTTCTCTGTGTAGCCTGACATGGTGGTTGTGAGAGTGGTCCAGCCTTTCTGTGTTCTCCAATAATCTGCAGTGTCCAGGTTGGTTCATCAAGTGCTCTGCTATGGCTGACTTCTCTGGCTGAAGTAGTCTGCACTGCCTTTCGTGTTCCTTTAGAGGAAACAATCAGGGACATCTAATCACCTCTCAACAAAAGATTGCCCCAAGCACTGCCTGGCCATCAAATGCTAATCAAGGTGGTCAGTTTATTTATTTATTATTTATTTACTGTATTTGTATACCGCCTTTCTCAGCCATATCGGCAACTCAAGGCGGTTTCCAACAAAACAGTATACATAGTATCACAACACAATTAAAAACATTATAATTTCATAAACCACAACAGCAATAAAAATTGAAACATTGAAACAGTTGAAACATTCACACCTAGCTCCAACAGACAAGAGTTCTTTGTCCCACCCTGGTCTTTCCACAGATATATAAACCCTTTTTACTAGTTACAACAGACCTCACTACCTCTGAGGATGCTTGCCATAGATGCAGGCGAAACGTCGGGAGAGAATGCCTCTAGAACATGGCCATATAGCCCAAAAAAAACCTATATCAAACCTGTTGTTGTTGTTGTTGTTGTTGTTGTTGTCTCAAAATGCCTCCAAATGGTCTCAGGAAGGGCAAAAACACCTGCTTCCCCATCCCTTCCTTTCAGCCCCAGGTCTTGTGGGATGCTGCTTACTTCCCATGTTCTTCTCCACTATTTTCTCTTTCTCCATGAGTTCCCTTTTTGCGATGCCAACCTGGTTCTGGGTCGAGTCCCGGAGGGTCGTGATGACTGTCTGCAGAGAGAAAAGCCAAAGGCGATGGTGGATGCTCAGGTTACTGGGTGGTCCAACTGGGGGTCATATGCCACATGCAGCTTTTAGTCACTTCCCGGCCACTCAAATAAAAGACAACAGGAAGGAAAGGGAGGAAAGCACCTCCTTGGCTTCCTTTCTTGCCTTTTCATCATCTGAAGACCAGCTTGGGAGTGATCCTGGATTCATTGCTGAGCCTGGAACCCCAGGTCTTGGCGATGGTCAGGAATGCTTTTGCACAATTAAAACTTGTGTGCCAGCTGCATTCGTACCTTGGGAAGTCTGATCTGGCCACAGTGGTCCATGTACTCGTTACATCCTGAATAGATTACTGCAATGCGATGTATGTGGGGTTGCCCTTGAAGACTGTTTGGAAGCTTCAAATAGTCCAATGGGCGGTAGCCACATTACTTACTAGAGCGACATATAGGGCGCATACCACCCCCCTGTTATGTCAGCTCCACTGGCTACCTGTCCAGTTCTGAGCACAATTCAAAGTGCTGGTCTTGACCTTTAAAGCCCTATACGTTTCTGGTTCAACTTTCTTGTCCAAACGTATCTCCCCCTACATCCCACCTCAAAATTTATTATCTTCTGGGAAGGCCCTGCCCTTGATCCTACCTTCGTCGGAAATGCGCTTGGTGGGGATAAGGGACAGGGCCTTCTCGGCGGTGTCCCCCTGCCTGTGGAACTCGCTCCCCAGTGAAATTAGGTCAACGACTTCCCTCTTTTCCTTCAGGAAAAAGTTAAAGACATGGCTTACTTACTTACTTAGGTGATCCCTTGTAGTCCAAGGATAATGTTCCCCCAAGTGTAGTGTCCTGGCTGTGGGTCCGTAGGTGACTGTGGAGCCCTATTCTTGATCTGCATCTTCTCCCACAGCGAGGGCATCGGTTTCCAGGTGGAAGGCGGTCCCGGTTAGGTTTGGCTTGATGCACCTTCCTCTTGGCATGCTTCTCTCTTTCGCTCTCCATTCGTGTCTTTTAAAATTCTACAGCACTGCTGGTCACAGCTGACCTCCAACTGGAGCGCTTAAGGGCCAGGGCTTCCCAGTTCTCAGTGTCTATGCCAGAGTTTTAAAGGTTGGCTTTAAGCCTGTCTTTAAATCTCTTTTTGTGTCCTTCATCATTCCATTTTGCATTCCTGAGTTCAGAGTAGAGCAACTTTGGGAGACGGTGGTCGGGCATTCGGCCAACATGGCCGGTCCAGCGGAGTTGATAGCAGAGGAGCATCACTTCAATGCTTGTGGTCTTTGCTTCTTCCAGCACGCTGACGTTTGTCTGCCTGTCATCCTAAGAGATTTGCAGGATTTTTCGGATGGTGCTATAGAGGGACAGATTCTTTTCTGGCACTAAACACAACATGGACTGCTAAAAAAGACAAATAAATGGGTCCTAAAGCAAATAAAACCTGAACTCTCCCAAGAGGACTACAAGAAGCTTGGCCTCTCATTGAACATCGAGAAAACTAAAGTGCTCTTCCAGCAGTCACCGGCCAATCCCTCTCCAATGCCAGAAATACAGCTTAATGGTGTAACATTAGAATATGTTGATCATTTCCGCTACCTTGGCAGCCACCTCTCCACAAAAGTCAACATTGACACTGACATACAACACTCCCCGAGCTCTGCAAATGCAGCATTTTTCCGAATAAAGCGCAGAGTGTTTGAGGACTGGGACATCCGTAGGGATACCAAGGTGCTTGTTTATAAAACCATTGTCCTCCCAACCTTGCTATACGTCTGCGAGACGTGGACTGTCTACAGACGTCACATGCAACTCCTGGAGCGATTCCATCACAGCTGTCTCCGGAAAATCCTGCAAATCTCTTGGGAAGACAGGCAGACAAAACAGTCCAGATAGATGGACAGAGTCAAGGAAGCCAAGACCTGAGAAAGGGCTGTTGAAGGCAAAGTGATTTGGAGATTGGAGACAACACCACGAAGCCAGACAAAGGCTTGGGCAAACTTGGGCCCTCCAGGTGTTTTGGACTTCAACTTCCACAACTTCCGATAGGCTGTTAGGAATTGTGGAAGTTGAAGTCCAAACCACCTGGAGGGCCCAAGTTTGCCGATGCCTGCTCTAAACTGTAAAACTGAGCCTTACCCCAAACATTTCATACTGCTGGAGGAGATCCCTGGCGTCTTTGGCACTTTCATAATCCATTTCCTTGATCCACTCCATCAGCCCCAGGTTCTTCTTCAAGAGGACTTTGGAGTGGTGCTTCAGTTCATCCAAGCTGTGTCTCCGGCTCTTGGAAATCCGCTGGAAATATTTCCAAAAGGTTATTATAGTGGCTCATCTGTCCCTGCTCCATTCCTTCAGGTCTGCAAGAGGACATTGTCCCAGAATTGCTTGAACTCCATGGTTGATGCTCTCAGGGCCCTTCCACACAGCTGTATAACCCAGAATATCAAGGCAGAAAATCCCACAATATCTGCTTTGAACTGGGTTATCTGAGGGCCCTTTCACACAGCCCTATATCCCAGGATGCATCAGACATAGAATCATAGAATCAAAGAGTTGGAAGAGACCTCATGGGCCATCCAGTCCAACCCCATTCTGCCAAGAATCAGGAATATTGCATTCAAAGCACCCCTGACAGATGGCCATCCAGCCTCTGTTTAAAAGCTTCCAAAGAAGGAGCCTCCACCACACTCTGGGGCAGAGAGTTCCACTGCTGAACGGCTCTCACAGTCAGGAAGTTCTTCCTCATGTTCAGATGGAATCCCACATTATCTGAGTGTGGACTCAGATAACCTAGTTGAAAGCAGATATTGTGGGATTTCCTGCCTTGATATTCTGAGATATAGGGCTGCATGGAAGGGTCCTGAGTCCACACTACCCTATATTCCAGTTCAAAACGGAAAATAAGAAATACTACAAATCAAATTGGATTTTAAACCGGAACACTTTCTGCTGGGACTGAATGACCCAACCATGAACAAGAACGACGAAAAAATCATGTTCTACCTCACCACGGCAGCGAGAATCAGTGTGGCCCGCTTATGGAAGAACAAAGAAACAGCAGACTTTAGTCAGTGGATAAGCAAATCCATGGATATTATGAACATGGACTTACTAACTCAGAAATTAAGGAAAAATGAATTGACAAGAGAAAACACTGACTGGAACAAATTCATAACCTTTCTGAAGAAGTATAACAAGAAACGAGAATAGAATACGAAAGAAGGAGAAAACCCAAAGAATAGTAACCAAACAAAAGAGTAACCGGCCAACATAGACCTAAGATAATTACAAAAGATACAAGGAACGACACGCTTAGATACCCTGGAAGTCAAGAGATGTACATAGTTGTTATTCATGTTTGTAAGTCTATTATGTGTCGTTATGTTTGTTTGTCAAGGATGAAATACAATAGAGTAAGGGGGGGGGAGGGACCGGGAGGGGGGAAGGGACAACGAACAGTTGCCCCCTACAAAAGGTGAACCACGAGACGATAGAAGAAAGAAAACAATCAGACTAAGTGTCAGAGGGGAGCACGAGTGAGAGATCTGCAAACCCTAGTTTGTACAACATGAGGGTACTCTTATATGTTATATACGTTGCACTGTTACATTATATATGTTTGTATGTACTAGGTGGGAACAGCATTGCTCCATCTTTTTAAATTATAAATTAATAAAAACTATTTTCAAAAAAAAAAAAAGAAGCAAAGCACCAGTGCCCTCTAGTTTTGTAAGTACTTTAAAACTATTTAAAACCATGGATTGCCCATGCATAATACATATACATCTATCTATCTATCTATCTATCTATCTATCTATCTATCTATCTTCTATCTTATCTATATAAAATGTAATGTTTGTTGGTGTTGGGGTTCAGCCTGATCCTGATCTGTGTGAACAGGATTCTCTGATAGTTTTTCAAACTGAGCAAGCTCTCCCTGACTCTGACAGTGTGGAATCTGTTGTTGATGCAGAGGTCAGTGGGAATGAAAACGAAACCCAACAGTTAGAAGAGAATGTTTTGGAAGTTAGCCGTGATATCTCCCCACCTGGGCTTGATAATGAGGTCCGAAGAGAACAGATAGTCAGAGATAGATTTGTTTCCCAGTCTGTACGAAGGTCACAGCGCCTTCAGCAGAAAGAGGCCCAAACAGAAAAGTCAAGGGCGTTTCTAAGAATAGCTTCTTTGGTTTAAGAGCATCCCTGCCGGGTGCTTCTTTAGGTCAAGCAACGTTCGGGACTGTGGCTGGTCTTGGCAGAATTCCTGTGTTCCATGGCCAGTAATCCCAGAGGCTTATAGTTTCCAAGTTCATGGTTAGTAAAAGGCTAACAGACTCCTGGTTATTGTTTTTTGGCTTTTGAAGTTTTGCTCAAGTTCAGAGATCCTATTGACTACTGTGTTTTTCTGTGGCTTTTTTACTCTGCATTTACCTTTCTTTTGTAACCAATTTTTCATCAATAAACAAGGATTGCTTTTCCTACAGTCCAGAGTGGTGGATTTAATCTTATGGTCTTGTTTCTTGAACTGGGATGCAACAGTTGGTGGGATTAACATAACCCAAAAACCACTGGATGAATTGACACCAAATTTGGACACAAGACACCAAACAGGCCAACAAGTCACCATCACTCATAAAAACACTGGAAAACATAGTAGAAAAGGCTTAAAAAGCCAAAAAACAAAAATTATATTACAACGCACACGCAAAACCACATACACACACACACACATATATATACGCAAACACACATATACACAAATATATACACACACAAAATACATATACACAGAGTGGGCCACAGCAACATACGGCAGGGGACGGCTAGTAGATATTATATATATATAGATATAGATATAGATATAGATATAGATATAGATATATAGATATATAATCTACAAGACACCAAAATAAAACTAAAGGAGCACCCAATATCAAGAACAGTCCTGGTCCACCTTAAGCATGTAATCCAATAGGCTGCATTATTATATTATACATTTTATATTCTGAATTAAAATACAGGTTCAGATATAATATAAGTGTTCACTCTATGGATACTAAAATATCCTAGAAATTAATGTGCCTACACTAAAAAGGTCTGTACACAAACAAAAACATGCATGGATAGCAAGAGACCCATGTGGATACAATGATCCTCCCAAATAATATAGCTAACCATGTTGGAATAAATAATGTAAAGGAAATACCACCACCTGCTGTTCAATCTCTTATAATACATTTTCTAACCTGCCTGTGTTTGAGATACTTCTAAAAGTGTTGATGTTACACCACCTGTTTAACCAGTGCTGTGGTTGTCAAGCTAAAGGTCCAACTATACAAAAATTAGTGTAAACACTCCAGATAATTGCGGATTGGCTGACACTAATAAACAACCTTCGGTCTCGGAGATTTGTAAAAAGGTGTTTCCGTATCAATAGCATCAACACTGATGAATCCCAGAACAAAGCTTTGGTGCACCTGCAAAATTTTGATGTTCTCCAAGCTCTTTGCCAACTTCATTTCCTTTGCCATGGCCTGTGAGAAATGGACCCTCTGTTTCACGGGGAGTGGCATCTTCAAGCCAAAGACTGGGCTTCTTTCGCTCACTAGAAGAAAACAAACATTATGCCTTTGGGAAAAGCCCACTTTCCAGTTTGTGTGCAAAGTAACAGAGGAGAAAGCAAGGCATGGAAACAAAGCCCCCCTGCTCCCAGGCAAGAAAAGATGACGTATTACTAAATGACACCTATGAGAATGTGCAAAGGCTTACTGCAGACCCACACATGTAATGTGCAGAAGTGCCCCTTGCTGTTGGATGCTAGTATGTTAAGTGATTTATAGTTTCCAAATCATTATTTTCCTGAACTGCTGAACTCTGGATAGCAAGTGTTCCAGAAGCAAGCAAAATGCAGCAGAGTCCTTTCACAGCACGAACATGCTTCAGTCCATCTATCGAGACAATCCAGCTGCAAGCATCTGACCTTATCTACACACACGGTTTAGTAAACCTACGGATTCAGGTTTTCACCCAAAATATCAGGAAACTTTAATCTGCAGCATTGCAATATTTACAGAATGTATGAACAAGATAAGCAGATCAACTTTCAACTTGTTATTGCAAACAATCATAGAATCAAAGAGTTGGAAGAGACCTCATGGGCCATCCAGTCCAACCCCATTCTGCCAAGAAGCAGGAATATTGCATTCAAATCACCCCTGACAGATGGCCATCCAGTCTCTGTTTCAAAGCTTCCAAAGAAGGAGCCTCCACCACACTCCGGGGCAGAGAGTTCCACTGCTGAACGGCTCTCACAGTCAGGAAGTTCTTCCTCGTGTTCAGATGGAATCTCCTGTCTTGTAGTTTGAAGCCATTGTTCCTTGTCCTAATCTTCATGGAAGCAGAAAACAAGCTTGCTCCCTCCTCCCTGTGGCTTCCTCTCACATATTTATACATGGCTATCATATCTCCTCTCAGCCTTCTCTTCTTCAGGCTAAACATGTCCAGCTCTTTAAGCCGCTCCTCATAGGGCTTGTTCTCCAGACCCTTGATCATTTTAGTCGCCCTCCTCTGGACACATTCCAGCTTGTCAATATCTCTCTTGAATTGTGGTGCCCAGAATTGGACACAATATTCCAGGTGTGGTCTAACCAAAGCGGAATAGAGGGGTAGCATGACTTCCCTAGATCTAGACACTATGCTCCTATTGATGCAGGCAAAAATCCCATTGGCTTTTTTTGCCGCCACATCACATTGTTGGCTCATGTTTAACTTGTTGTCCACGAGGACTCCAAGATCTTTTTCACACGTACTGCTCTCGAGCCAGGCATTGTCCCCCATTCTGTATCTTTGCATTTCATTTTCTGCCTAAGTGGAGTATCTTGCATTTGTCCTGTTGAACTTCATTTTGTTAGTTTTGGCCCATCATCTCTAATCTGTCAAGATCGTTTTGAATCCTGCTCCTGTCCTCTGGAGTATTAGCTATCCCTCCCAATTTGGTGTCGTCTGCAAACTTGATGATCCTGCCTTCTAACCCTTCATCCAAGTCATTAATCAAGATCCTGAGCAGGACCGGGCCCAGGACGGGACTCTGCGGCACTCCACTAGTCACTTCTTTCTAGGATGAAGAGGAAGCCTTGGGGAGTATCACCCTCTGGGTTCATCCATTTAACCAATTCCTGATCCACCTCACCGTAGTTTTGCCTAGCCCACATTGGACTAGTTTCCTTGCCAGAAGGTCATGGGGGACCTTGTCGAAGGCCTTCCTGAAATCCAGGTACGCTACATCCACGGCATTCCCCGCATCTACCCAGCTTGTAACTCTATCGAAAAAAGAGATCAGATTAGTCTGGCATGACTTGTTTTTGATAAATCCATGTTGACTATTAGAAATGACCACATTTGTTTCTAAGTGTTTGCAGACCACTTCCTTAACAATCTTTTCCAGAATCTTGCCTGGTATCGACGTGAGGCTGACCGCATGGTAGTTGTTTGGGTCATCCTTTTTTCCCTTCTTGAAGATTGGGACCACATTGGCCCTCCTCCAATCTGCTGGAACTTCTCCCGTTCTCCAAGAACTCTCAAAGATGGTTGCCAATGGTTCCCAAATGACTTCCGCTAGTTCCTTCAATACTCTGGGGTGTAGTTGATCTGGCCCTGAAAGGGAACTTGAACTCATTAGAGTGGCCAGGTATTCCTGGATGACTTGTTTCCCAATTTGGGATTGGATGTCCTCTAATCCCTCATCCACTCTATCTTGCTGAGGTTGAAGATGACTTTCTTTTTGTGAGAAGATCGAGGCAAAGAAGGCATTAAGCATACTGTTCTCAAAGCATACTGGCGTTTGAAAACATACTGTATCTAAAACGGAGTCTGAGTCCTGAACAGTCCCAAGTCTGATCACATGGTCTGCAGCCCCTCCAATAACATAGAGTTAAGGAAAACTGAAAACCAATACACACATATACTGTTTCTACTGGCGTTAGAAAACATACTGTATCTAAAATGGAGTCTGAGTCCTGAACAGTCCCAGATCTGATCACATGGTCTGCAGCCCCTCCAATAACATAGAGTTAAGGAAAACTGAAAACCAATACACACATATACTGTTTCTACTGGCGTTAGAAAACATACTGTATCTAAAATGGAGTCTGAGTCCTGAACAGTCCCAGATCTGATCACATGGTCTGCAGCCCCTCCAATAACATAGAGTTAAGGAAAACTGAAAACCAATACACACATATACTGTTTCTACTGGCGTTTGAAAACATACTGTATCTAAAATGGAGTCTGAGTCCTGAACAGTCCCAGATCTGATCACATGGTCTGCAGCCCCTCCAATAACATAGAGTTAAGGAAAACTGAAAACCAATACACACATATACTGTTTCTACTGGCGTTAGAAAACATACTGTATCTAAAACGGAGTCTGAGTCCTGAACAGTCCCAAGTCTGATTACATGGTCTGCAGCCCCTCCCATAACATAGAGTTAAGGAAAGCTGCATACCAATACACACATATACAATACAGTAAGTAATCTGAATTGTATACATAACAAGTCACTTGTGGAGGCTTGAAGAAGGTTGCTATTTCCAAGACTATCAATCTCCCACATATTCATCAAATAGTATCTTCTCTATAGTGAGAAGCGGTGTGCCATTTCTAGCTAACACCCCTTACCTGATTTATTTCTTCCTTCCTTCTTCTCTTCTGATCTATTGAGTGGTGGTAAGTCTAGACGTGGCGTTTGCTTCCTAGCTTTTCTTTGCCACGGGCTATAATCCTAAATGCAGCAAAATTGGAATTAGTTTCCAGGAAAGAAGCAAGCAATCTTCCATGGATTCCTTAGTCTTGAGACACACCCAAAGGGGGAACCAAGAAAGCACCCCTGAGAACATGCAAAGTTAGAATGCTTTTCTGCTTACCTTTCTGATGACACTCCCAACCAAAGGATGTCACACTGGACTCCCCCATCTTAACCTTTCATAGGGAGGTAAAGCATTTTCGTAACATGGTGGCAATCCACCAAATATGGATGATCATACTCAGGGGAGTAAAAGGTAAAGGTTTCCCCCTGACATTAAGTCTAGTCGTGTCCAACTCGGGGTGGTGGTGCTCATTTCCATTTATAAGCTGAAGAGCTGGCATTGTCCATAGACACCTCTAAAGTCATGTGGCCAGCATGACTGCATGGAATGCCTTTACCTTCCCTACAACTCCCAAATTCAAGGTCAATGCCCACCAAACCCTTCCAGTATTTTCTGTTAGTCATGGGAGTTCTGTGTGGCAAGTTTGGTCCAACTCCATCGTTGGTGGGGTTCAGAATGCTCTTTCATTGTAGGTGAACTATAAATTCCAGCAACTACAACTCCCAAATGTCAAGGTCTATTACCTCCAAGCTCCACTAGCATTCACATTTGGGCATGTTGAGTATTCGTGCCAAGTTTGGCCCAGATCTATCTGAGTCCACAGTGCTCTCTGGATGTAGGTGAACTACAACTCCAAACTCAAGGTCAATGCCCACCAAACTCTTCCAGTATTTTCTGTTGGTCATGGGAGTTATGTGTGCCAAGTTTGGTTCAATTCCATCATTGGCGGAGTTCAGATTGCTCTTTGGTTGTAGGAGAACTATAAATCCCAGCAACTACAACTCCCAAATGTCAAGGTCTATTTCCCCCAAACTCCACTAGCGTTCATATTTGGACATATTGAGTATTGGAGCCAAGTTTAGTCCAGATCCATCATTGTTTGAGTCTACAGTGCTCTTGGATG